TAACTGAATTGACACAGTCACCGAGTGATAATACGAGTAAGTTGTAATTGTTAAAAATAACAAGGTCATAATATTTATGAATGCTTTTTAGCGATAAACTGCTTTTTAGGGTTCCGTAGTCCTGACAAGGAACCCATATTTTTCTGCTGGTTCTGATGCAAAACTTTGCAAAGTTTCATCATACCTCGAATGCATCATGGAGGCATAATCAGATGCTCTTCTTCAAGAAAGGAGATAACACCTTACTGAAGTATTACAGACCCATCTCGCTTCTGAGCCCTGTCTACAAGCTGTTTTCGAGGGTCATCATGAATCGTCCCGCGCGTAGGTTCGACGACTTCCAGCCTCCCGAACAAGCAGTTTTCTGAAAAGGTTTTGGTACCATATACCACATCCATACGCTGCGACAGGTTATACAGAAGACTGAGGAGTATAACTTGTCACTATGCTTGGCGTTCGTGGACTATGAGAAGGCCTTCGATTTGATCGAAACCTACGCAGTTTGCAGTCTCTCCAACGGTGCTGTATAGTTTCAGTAAATGGAGGTGCTGAAGTGCTTGTACAAAAACGCCAGCATGTCGGCCCAAGTACAGGAGCAAAGCACGAGGGCAATTCCTCTGCAGCGAGGTGTAAGGCAGGGAGTTGTTATATGTCCGAAACTTTCACTGCATTGGAAGTCTCTTTCAGACTCTTGGAATGGAAAAAGGATTCGGTATAAATCAATAGATTTTGCATGAGAGCAAATATAATTAGGGGAGAACGAGGAGAGTTGTAACAGAGGTGAGTTGTAACAAAGTCAATTTCTCTCAACCTATGACATTTATCGAGTTAAGTAGTGATCTGTTTGCGTGAAATTACCAGCTCGCTAACTGACATAGGTGAAGAGAAATCGGCTTTGTTATAACTAACCTCTGTTACAAATCTCCTCGATCTCCCCTATCAGTTTTAACCACATATTTAAGCTGAAAAAGATAAATTAATGGATGATTTAATATCCCGACGTCGTTGATAAAAAGTTTGTAAACAATATGCGATAATTCAATACGTATTGTCTGAGCACGAGACGAGTCGTATTTGGCTCCAAATATTTACTTCTAGTAGTTGTGTTTGAGTTTCGAGTGATTTAATTGTGAAAATTATTTAAGTTTTCAAATATCACGACTAAATTTTGCAGCATTTTTGTAGTGTTTCACCAGTGGTGGCTTATAAAATCATTTCAAGTACAAGTAAGTACATAACCTATAGCCTGACCAGGAACATAAAAACCCTGGCATAGTGGCGCGTCAATTGCATTTGATAGTGCAACACTGAGTACAGTCGTACCTGTGTTAAATTAATAGGCTAACTTTATGTATCAGGATTCAGGATTACGGGCTAATTTGATATTTTCATAAATTAACGAAAAAATATTATTATAGGTAACCTGATTTAAATAAATTAAATGAAANCCCCCGGCCCTTGCTGTGCGAAGTGATGGAGCACCTTTCCCCCCTTTTCCATCATCAGTGCCCCCCCTGTCTGGACCCAATCACCCTTCAAATCACCCCCGAGGCCTAATTACAAAAATACATACTAATTACAACACTATACGACATAACGACCACAGCAAAGATCCAAACCCCATCTTTTGAGATTAAAAATCCGTTTTATGAGATACGAAACCCATTTTTGAGATTAAAAACCCATCTTTTGAGATTCAAACCCCATCTTTTGAGATTAAAACGCATCTTTTGAGATTCAAACCCTAACTTTTGGTATTAAAAATCCGTTTTATGAGATACGAAACCCATCTTTTGATATTCAAACCCTATCTTTTGAGATTGAAACGCATCTTTTGAAATTAAAAACCCAACTTTTGAGATTAAAAATCCATCTTTTGATATTCAAACCCCATCTTTTGAGATTAAAACGCATCTTTTGAGATTCAAAACGCACTTTTTGAGATTCAAAACCCATTTTTGAGATTGAAAACCCATTTAAAAAAAATTAAAATCCCATCTTTTGAGATTAAAAACCTATCTTTTGAGATTCAAACCCCATCTTTTGAGATTAAAAAACCATCTTTGCTGCAGTCGGTCAAGAAATACACACAAATGAAACCTCAAGCAGTTCAGTGTTGCACATCCGTTCGGTCGGACAGTTCTGCACGTAGTGATGCATTAGGCGGCCATTTTGAAATAGCACGCAGCCGCCATTTTGTAACCCGTCGCCGATTAGATCGGTTTCCAAACCTGCGGTTATTTTTTTACTTTCAGGAAGTTTTCATCATCATTTCTGCTACAGAATGTCCACTGCTCAACTTAGGCCTCCCCCAAAGTTATCTACTAGTAGATTTTCTGCTATTTTCACTTAATTGGTGTATTAGCTCAGAAGCGCAGTTTAAAGGTCCTGGTTCGATTCTTGGACGGGGCAATTTATTGGTGGTTCTCGTTCTGGATTACCATAGTATTCTAGCTTCTGCATACAGAACGAACGTTTTAAATCCCGTAAACATTTGTGTTTTCTAATTACTAAAAATATGACGAAATTATTTGCAAGAAAAGATTTTTTTTATGTGACAGGAGGCAAACGAGCAAACGGATCACCTGATGGTAAGTGATTACCATCGCCCATAGATTCCCGCAGTCTAGTATAGTTAAATACCCATTATTAAGGCACATCTACAGGAATACGTTTCTTGAGCTTACCCATGCTGCGGCCTTTAGCGATGGCCTCGCGTGACTGCTTCCACAGCAGGGAAGTGAGGATCGTGACGAGGTTGAACCGCTTGAAGCCGAGTTGCTGGTACGTCGCGATGTTCTCTACGTAGTACAGGTCTGTAATGGATGAAATACATATGTTATAAATGGATGGCAGGCACATAGCTCGTAGAGACGATGGCCATTGGGGCAGAAAAGTTCTCGAGTGGCGACCACGGGCTGGAAGACGTAGCGTGGGTAGGCCTCCTATTAGGTGGACCGACGATCTGGTAAAGGTCGTGGGAGGAGCCTGGGTGCGGGCAGCGCAGGACCGTTCATTGTGGAAAACCTTGGGAGATGCCTTTGTCCAGCGGTGGACGTCATTTGGCTGAAACGAACGAAATGGATAATGTGATGCTAAAACGCTTGTTCGTTTCACCAAGTAACGTCCACTGCTGGACAAAGGCCTCTCTCAAAGATTTTTTGGTACGCTTCGCGCGACCTTCACTCGATCATCTGGTTGGAGGCTTGCCTAAATTACGTTTTCCGGTCTGTGGTTACTATTCAAGAAATTTTGAACCCTAAAGGCTATCAGTTCTAGCTATGGGCTCCTCCTATTGCCACTTAAGTTTGGCAATTCGGGGGGCTATAACCGGCACTTTGATTCTCCTACGGATTTCCTCATTTCTGATCGAGTCGAAAATGCGTTGTCACTGTAAAACATTAGCATCGCGAAATTCAGTTCGTTTATTCATCGCGTTATGGTTCTTATGAAAATTCGTACAATTTTTAAAATGTATGTTACCTCCATCGAAGAATTTCCCGTCAACGAATTCCTTGGAGCCGGCCTCCTCGACACCGATGCCGACCAGCTTGATGTTATGCTTTGACAGAATGGGGGCTATCTCTCCAAGCTGTAATACAGGAAAAAGTAGCATTAACCACATGGGTCCTTTACGAGATTGTCGGTCTATCGCTCAATCATCATCATCATTTCAGCCATATCCTATGGCCACCCACTGCTGAACATAGGCCTTCCTCAATATCCATAATGACCGATTGGTAGCGGTCTCCATCCAGCGCCTTTCTGCTACCTTTATGAGATCGTCGGTCCACTGCTCAATACTCATATTGAAATAATTACAATAAATATAATGACCTCTTTAGCCCACAGCCTGCAGAACATGCATCCCCAGCGACGGAAGAAGATGACGGCCACGTTTTGGTCCTCCCAGAAACTCTTCAGCTCTTTCACCTGAAAAAAAAACACACATGTTCACAGTAAAAGTGTTGGGTTTTAAAAAGTGAAGTTTGTACCCAATTGCTTAATTTTAGTTTTTGTACCTAACATTTTTTTACTTAAGACTCCTTTTAAAATGTGACAATCTTAANAATTATTATAAATACTTAAAGTAAATATTGATGAATGCTTTTTAGCAATAAACAATTATTTTCTGCTGGTTTTGATGAAAAACTGCAAAGTTTTATCATACTCCAAATGGAACATGGGGGCATGGAACAGATTCATGATAGTATACTCTTCTTCAAGAAAGGAAATAACACCTTACTGAAGAATTACAGACCCATCTCGCTTCTGAGCCCTGTCTACAAGCTGTTTTCGAGGGTCATCACAAATCGTCTCGCGCGTAGTTTCGATGACTTCCAGCCTCCCGAAGAAGCCGGTTTCCGAAAAGGTTTTGGTACCATAGACCACATCCATACGCTGCGGCAGGTTATACAGAAGACTGAGGAGTATAACTTGTCACTATGCTTGCGTTCGTGAACTATAAGAAGGCCTTCGATATGATCGAAACCTGGGCAGTGCTGCAGTGTCTCTAACGGTACTGTATAGTTTTTCGGTAAATGGAGGTGCTGAAGTGCTTGTACAGAAACGCCACCATGTCGGTCCTAGTACAGGACCAAAGCACAAGGGCGATTCCTCTACAGCGAGGTGTAAGGCAGGGAGTTGTTATTTCTCCGAAACTGTTCACTGTATTGGAAGACGCTTTCAAATTCTTGGAATGGAAAGATTCGGCTTAAACCAATAGCTTTTGCATGAGAGCAAACATAATTAGGGGAGACCGAGGAGAGTTGTAACAGAGGTGAGTTGTAAAGAACTAAGTCAATTTCTCTCAACCTATGACAGTTTATCAAGTTAGTGATCTGTTTGCGTGAAATTACCAGCTCGCTAACTGTCATAGGTGCAAAGAAATTTTTGAGAGGCTTTGTTACAGCTAAACTCTGTTACAACTCTCCTCGGTCTCCCCTATCGGTTTTAACCACATATTTAAGCTGAAAAAGATAAATTAATGAATGACTTAATATCCCGACGTCGTTGATAAAAAGTTTGTAAACAATATGCGATAATTCAATACGTATTGTCTGAGCACGAGACGAGTCGTATTTGGCTCCAAATATTTACTTCTAGTAGTTGTGTTTGAGTTTCGAGTGATTTAATTGTGAAAATTATTTAAGTTTTCAAATATAACGACTAAATTTTGCAGCTTTTTTGTAGTGTTTCACCAGTGGTGGCTTATGAAATAATTTCAAGTACAAGTAAGTACATAACCTACCTAAGTAATTGATAACTTTTTAAAGTGTTAAATTGAAAAAGGAATGGTTCTACCTAATGAGTAGGTATTAATTTTTGGTCTACAAATATCTCATACTTACTATTATAATTTTCTGCAGAATTAAGTCCGAAAAACAATTTTTATTCAAGAAAGACAGAATACTTAAAAACTGACCGTCAACACGATAAGATTTTCTGCGTCATTTTGTTATTTAATTTTATCATGCCCCTTTAACTTGCAGTTTCATTGGAATCTACTTACTATCCGTTCGCTTTAAGTTTGCCGCTGGCGATATGACGTCATTCGAAGGGAAGCGTCTATAACTTTAACAAACTTTATTTAAAATATTTTTTATTTATTATTATCGATAAAAATTGTGTATTTGTGTAAAATAACACACATTAATTGCGTTTAAAATCACTAACTAATTGCGTTTAATCGCGCTTGGGGGAGGGAACGCGCATTCCACGGACCTTGCCGGCGCATTGACGGACTTAGCGGGAACGGGTACCTAGTACCTACTTAGATCCGCATTATTTTAAATTATAAAATCTATTACATAATTATCTACCTCTAATGTTGCCAGTGTTATGGACAAATACATGTGTAGGTACTACCCGTTCGCGCTAAGTTTGCCGGTCCGTGGAATGCGCGTCCCCTCCCCCAACCGCGATTAAACGCAATTAGTGATTAAACGCAATTAATGTGTCTTATTTTACGCAAATACACAATTTTTTCAATAATAATAAATAAAAAATATTTTAAATAATTATATACTGGTCATCACAAAAATCTACGTTTTACAGGAAAACTCGTTTCTACTGACACAATCATGGTGCCCCAACAATATTGGTGTTATTTGAAAGCCCAATAAATATCCTTAAAGAAAAACACATTTCTTAATAAACGATCATCATCATCGTTATCAAATGTGACTTGGAAAAAGACCTCACTTTGGGCTCACCTCTGGGATCAATTAGACCAATTTTTATGGTTATAAAACCAAATAATGATCTCACGTGTCCTTTTTAACAGGTGGATAGCTATTAATCCCAACTTAACAGTTTTATAGCCTTAAAGGTTGGCTCAAGCGTAACTATCATTTTTTGAAGAAGTGACTCTGACTTCTTCTACAGACACATTTTTGGGGTAAAAACCTTTCCTTTAATGAAATGAAGTTTAGAACTAGGCTTTTAAATGGTGCCAATATTAGTGGGAAGTGGGGATGCATACGTTGGAAAGTGATTGTCGCGGGAGGGTCGATTTTTGTGATGACCAGTGTAGTTTGTTATAGTTATAGACGCTTCCCTTCGAGTGACGTCATATCGCCAGCGGCAAACTTAAAGCGAACGGATGTATGAAAACTTTGTCGTATTTATTCACGATATTATTTGTAGGTTTTTGTCTTGTCTTCTATGACGTGTATTTGAGGTAGGTCAAGGTAGATTAGATACGGTAGTAAAAATATACCTACACCGAATATTATATTATCTATAGAAGGCCCATATGTTTGAAAACTAAAATTGGCGAACGATATTTTGCCTATTTAATATTTATTCTATTCACTTAAAGTCAAGCTAGGTTTTGGATTTATTTATTACCTTTGTTATAATAACATTTATTTTCCAGATTTAAAATGAAATCAGCAGTAATAACACTGTCGCTAATAACGACGTTTTTGGCACCAGCTTCAGCCGTTTGCCACGCGTGTTTCGACCATGTGTGCTACACCAGAAAGAAGGTTTTCGAAGGCGCCCAACTGTCAGGTCAGATCGCCATAGACCGCATGGACAACTTGCTGCATCTCCATTACAAAGACATAAGAAACACAGACTATACAGCAGTAGTGGACCTAAATTTTGATAATCTGAAGATGAATACTTTGCCTGTCGCATACTCTTTCGCACGAGCAATTAACCAACACACAGGAGAAGTGTATTTCTCTGGAACTAAAGGCATTTACAAGTACAGTACGATGACGAAACAAACTGAACGATTCGCTCATTTCAGCAAAACTATCTGGCACATGCAATTTAAGGATAAGTTGTATTTTTCTGAATACCAAAAACAGGGATTGCATTATATTGATGGTAATCGTACAGTGTGCATTTCTGCTTTGACAGATTATGTCATTGATGATTTTATAGTGGACAAATTCGATGATATTTATTTTACGAGCGACTATTTAGTTTATAGGTTGAAAAAGGGGGCGACGAAGCCGTGTCTGTTCAGTAAAATTCTTTATTCTTTGTCCACTGACAAAAATGATAACGCCCACTTTTTGGACGCTAATACTAGGACGTTATATTACCTAGATTATCCGCGTGATTTGTTGATAGAATTAGGTATGTTTGATGTGGGTACTGTGGTGTTCAGAATGGTGTTTGACATTGTCAACGATATAATATACTGTGACGCGGCTGATGACAAAGTGTACCTTCTGTACCCGAATTACGCTCGCTGTTCTTTGACCAAAAAAACTGGGGATAGTAAACCACAGTACTCAATTAATTAAAAATATGTTAACTAATTTTAAGTACTACTATTATTAAATTAATTTTGTTAAAATTGTGTGTTTGGTTTGTTATAATTTATATTCGCGAATGACGTGTGATTGCAATTTATTTTAAATAATAAAACATTTTGTAAATATCAAGCCTTTATTACTTGTTGTGCTCATAATGTTATGTAATCATTTACATTATAATTTTAATTACGTAGGATATATTGTCATGGAATCAATTGATTTATATTATACTTGTTTAATAAAAAAAACGATGCAACTGTGAAATTCTAGACCAGAAGATGATCCAGTGTTGCCAGTAGAGAAAATTTTCTCTCGTGTGGTTGCCAGTTACAAAATAATAAAAACAAATAAGTATAAAATAAATCAATCGCTTTTGGAATGTTTTAAACTAAGTATATGTTCGAAGTAGTAGTAAACATTAAATGTATTTATGTTTCACATTAACTTCAATTTACATATCACAAGCATACGATATAGACATTTAAGAATAAACTGTATATTATAAATAACGTTTTTTAATTCTACCGAATAACAATTTTAACCCCAATATAAGAAATAAGAATAAATCAACTGGAATAACAATTTTTAAACCCAATAAGATTAAGAACAATTTAAATTCGTTAATGATTCAACCGTTTAAAAAAATACTTGGCAATTTAAATTTAACTTACCTAAAAAGAGAAATACGGCCAAGTGTCAAATAAGGCCAAGGTTTTAAAGAAAAATTTTTATTAATAAAAAAAAGAAAACTGTGTTATAGCAGCGATTCATAAAATGCTGTCTCTTTTCTACATAAGCCGTTTTCACTGTAGTGAAAGAGACAAAAAGTATTTAGTAAAAACGGTGATATAACACAGTTTTGTATTACCCAAGTTTAATCAGTCCTTAAAAGCCGCGGCCTGACTACAAGCGTTGATATGTCTATTTATTCGAGACTATAATGACTGCAGGGTTATGTACTACGAGAAGATAATATTGTTTTATATTGATGGTGTCGACAGAGACATCAGATGTTGGTTTTAATCGAAACCTATTTAAATAAAACTCTTGCAATCAAGCCACAGCCTTACACTACCAATATCACCACACCCATAAGTTAACACTAGAATTTCAATAAATTGTATAAAAACATCAAAATATTAATACAAAACTTACGATATAAAAAAAATCAGTACGATTCTTCAATTCCGTTGCTGGTTTCAAACAGTAGTGGGACCGTTAACCCTTTACATGGTAATGGGAACATAGTTCCCACTGATAGTGGGAAAATATTTACATTACCATTACCTCTAAAATAACTCCTCATTTTAAATAAATAATTTTGATCTTGAAAGCTAAATTACTTTTCTTAGATTTTTAGACCAAAAAATGTTTTAAAATGATTTTCTTCCACCATTTTCAGCACCATTCGATATGTTGTCCCGAAGTTAGTAGGACAAGCTACATTTGGGACGTTTTTAAGTGTCCCACATACTGATAATGTAATAATTTGGAAGCCAAAATCCTGTAAGTGCCGTACTAATAAAGTTTGTGTGGATGTCTGCAATCCAGACTTTGGTTGCATGTTTGTTATTCTTTCACGCGAAAACTACTGAACGTATTTTGATCGAACTTTACAGTATATTGAATATAACTCAGAATAACATAATAGGCTATAATTTATAACGATCTGTGAAAATAATTTCACGCGGGCAAAACCGCGGGCACATCTAGCAAAAAAAATTAAAGTCAATAAAAAGTCTAAAATACTGTGTGAAACCAGCAACGAACCTCCCCACGTCAACTATACTGCTACACCTTGCTATGCTTGCAACGCCGCTCCGTCCATATCGTGTGTATAGGAGCCAGAGAGTGGCGCTCCAGTGTTCTCAGCCATTCCTTAGGGCGCAGCCTCTGTCTGGAAAGCGGACAGGTGTGATGCCAGGGTTAGTTTGGGCTAACTACTTTGTTTTTGGGGTTTATTAAAGGTGTACACCGTTACACTTCTGACACAAGCAAATATTTAGCTTTTTGGAGTTTTATTAAGTAACTAGTCTTAACCCTTTAACGTTTACAACATAATTAAATTTTTCATTGTTTTTGGACCTTAAGACAATCAAAATGTGGTGGGAACTATATTCCCACTGCCTTATAAAGGCTTAAGATCCAAATAGAAATATTTATGATTATATTTACCCAAAATTAGGCAAACAAATACTTGAATTTGATTGTACTTGGACGAGATATAACGGATAGGAAATATAAGTGATTTAGAGAGGAATCACGAATTACTAGTATTTTTAAATATTTATGCCCGTGTCAAAAAATTAATAATACCAATAAATAGACGAAGTACGTAGCTAAATCTATGAATGAAAACCTTTTAAAATGTGACAACATAATATCTGTGTCTTGCCATTAATTTCATGAAATAATTATTAACAGGATCATACGCTTCGCGAATTCGGCTCGCGCGTATACGCTCGCGAACGAACGCTCGCAAGCGAATGCTCCCTTTGTAACATAGTTAAATACGTACATTGCACTCTCCCCTTTCCTCAGGTTTCTTGTTGGCCATCGTCTCAGGGTTGTACTCGTTCTCAAGACCAAACGTCTGAAATAAAAAACATTGAATTTCATACATATTCGACCTCTTACCGTATTCAAATAAACTATAGTGGTCAATAAATCAATTGTTCTTGTTGTGAAGCTATTCTTTTTATGAAGCTAGTTTTAACACGAAAAAAAGTCATAAAATTTTCATTTATACAAATGATATTAAATTTTCACGTAAACAACAAAATAAGCACTTAAACCCATTCAAGCAAATAACTCTTGATTAACAATAATTTTTTTTTTTAAACTAGCTACACCAATTTAAAAAACTGGCAACACTATCACGGGGGCTTATCTACCTACCTTCAAAATGTCCAAATTGGACATATGCTCCCCCGGCCCTTGCTGTGCGAAGTGATGGAGCACCTTTCCCCCCTTTTCCATCATCAGTGCCCCACCTGTCTGCACCCAATCACCCTTCAAATCACCCCCGAGGCCTAATTACAAAAATACATACTAATTACAACACTATACGACATTACGACCACAGCAAAGATTTAAAACCCATCTTTTGAGATTAAAAATCCGTTTTATGAGATTCGAAACTCATTTTTGAGATTAAAAACCCAACCTTTGAGATTAAAAATCCATCTTTTGATATTAAACCCCCATCTTTTGAGATTAAAACGCATCTTTTGATATTCAAAACGCATCTTTTGGGATTAAAAACCCATCTTTTGATATTCAAACCCCATCTTTTGAGATTAAAACGCATCTTTTGAGATTCAAAATGCACTTTTTGAGATTCAAAACCCATTTTTGAGATTGAAAACCCATTTAAAAAAAATTAAAATCCCATCTTTTTAGATTAAAACCCCACCTTTTGAGATTAAAAATCCATCTTTTGAGATTAAAATCCCATCTTTGCTGCAGTCGGTCAAGAAATACACGTAAATGAAACCTCAAGCAGTTCAGTGTTGCACATCCTTTCGGTCGGACAGTTCTGCACGTAGTGATGCATTAGGCGGCCATTTTGAAATAGCACGCAGCCGCCATTTTGTAATCCGTCGCCGATTAGATCGGTTTCCAAACCTGCGGTTGGTATTTGGTTACTTTCTGGAGGTTTTCATCATCATTTCTGCTACAGAATGTCCACTGCTGAACTTAGGCCTCCCCCAAAGTTATCTACTAGTCGATTTTTTGCTATTTTCACTTAATTGATGTGTTAGCTCAGAGGCGCAGTTTAAAGGTCCTGGTTCGATTCTTGGTGGTTCTCGTTCTGGATTACCATAGTATTTCAGCTTCTGCATACAGAAGGTCGCGGTTTAAATCCCGTAAACATTTGTGTTTTCTAATTACTAACAAATGACAAAATTATTTGCAAGAAAAGTTTTTTTTTTATGTGACAGGAGGCAAACGAGCAAATGGTAAGTGATTACCGTCGCCCATAGACACCCGCAGTCTAGTATAGTTAAGTACCCATTATTAAGGCACATCTACAAGCATACGTTTCTTGAGCTTACCCATGCTGCGGCCTTTAGCGATGGCCTCGCGTGACTGCTTCCACAGCAGGGACGTGAGGATCGTGACGAGGTTGAACCGCTTGAAACCGAGTTGCTGGTACGTCGCGATGTTCTCTACGTAGTACAGGTCTGTAATGGATGAAATACATATAAATGGATGGCACATAAGCTTGTAGAGACGATGGCCATTGGGGCAGAAAAGTTCTCGAGTGGCGACCACGGGCTGGAAGACGTAGCGTGGGTAGGCCTCCTATTAGGTGGACCGACGATCTGGTAAAGGTCGCGGGAGGAGCCTGGGTGCGGGCAGCGCAGGACCGTTCATTGTGGAAAACCTTGGGAGATGCCTTTGTCCAGCAGTGGACGTCATTTGGCTGAAACGAACGAAATGGATAATGTGATACTAAAACGCATGTTCGTTTCACGAAGTAACGTCCACTGCTGGACAAAGGCATCTCTCAAAGATTTTTTGGTACGCTTCCCGCGACCTTCACTAGTCTTCCTTCCTTCGTCTGGTTGGAGGCTTGCCTAAATTACGTTTTCCGGTCCGTGGTTGCTATTCAAGATATTTTGAACCCTAAAGGCTATCAGTTCTAGCTGTGCTCCTTCTATTGCCACTTAAGTTTGGCAATTCAGGGGGTTATAACGGCTACTTTGATTCTCCTACGGATTTCGGATTTCTTCATTTCTGATCGGGTCGAAAATGCGTTGTGGTCACTGTAAAACATTAGCATCGCGAAACTCAGTTCGATCATGCAACCCGTTATGGTTTTTATGAAAATTCGTACAAATTGTAAAATGTATGTTACCTCCATCGAAGAATTTCCCGTCAACGAATTCCTTGGAGCCGGCCTCCTCGACACCGATGCCAACCAGCTTGATGTTATGCTTTGACAGAATGGGGGCTATATCTCCAAGCTGTAATACAGGAAAAAGTGATATTTTAATAAAAACCACTTCGTTTCAGCCGAAAGACGTCCACTGCTGGACAAAGGCCTCCCCCAAGGATTTCCACGAAGACCGATCCTGCACCGCTCGCATCCAGGCGCCTCCCGCGACCTTCACCAGATCGTCGGTCCACCTAGTGGGAGTCCTGCCCACGCTACATTTTCCGGCTCGTGGTCGCCACTCAAGAACTACAAACCACTTACTGTGTAGATTATAAAAGCATTAACCACCTGTGACCTTTACCAGATTGTCGGTCCATCGCTCAATCATCATCATCATTTCAGCCATATCCTATGGCCACTGCTGAACATTGGTCTCCCTCAATATTCATAATGACCGATTGGTAGCGGTCTCCATCCAGCGCCTTTCTGCTACCTTTATGAGATCGTCGGTCCACTGCTCAATACTCATATTTGAATAATTACAATAAAGATAATGACCTCCTTAGCCCACAGCCTGCAGAACATGCATCCCCAGCGACGGAAGAAGATGACGGCCACATTTTGGTCCTCCCAGAAACTCTTCAGCTCTTTCACCTGAAACAAAACACAGTCCAGACATAAGCTGTAAAAGATTTTGGTTTTCAGTTAAAAAATGATTATTTTGAGCTGTGTATGTATAGATCATTTCATCCACGAAGACGCGCCCCACCAATTTTTGGTCGAGGGAAGCGCGGGGTGCAGGGAGTTTGATCCGAGCAATCCGAGCGTCATTATTGTAGTGTGCGTGTGCTCTCATGGATGATTTAGCGTGTACCGATAACACTCTAAACATTAGCGGAAGAATGGTGAGGCGCGTCTTCGTGGATGAAACGATCTACAGTTATTGTATGAGAAAAAAATTTGACAAAATCCTTTTTTAAAAAAGTAAGACACACTCATTAACAGCAGTACACTGTCGCGGCGTCCTAACTCCAGCCCTGTTTGACATTAAAGTATCCACATTCCACATTCTGCCAAAACAATTCGGCGCTATAGCGCGACGTCAAGCTAACATTAGCGCGCGCTAGGTAGCATTCTATTTGGCGAAGTCTCTGAAATACATACATATGTATTGTCTAAATATAAGAAAAATATTTACTGTGTTAAAATTACAGTTTCAAGCTCAATACAACAATACTCAACATTTTATTACATTCATTATGTACATAAAATTAGAACATTATGGGCTATATTATTTCTAGATCTCATTTATCTTTAACCCTTATTTTTCATTGTTTTGTGGATGCTAAGACAAGGGAATAAAGTTCAAAATATGGTGGGAAATATATTCCCACTGCCATATAAAGGGTTAAATAAAACAGTTATTTAACTTGTTACTATAGGATTTATCTTTGCTATAAAGCCTTTTATCTAGCTAGGAGAAAAACATTGACACCATAAATATCTTTTTATCAACGTTACTTGAGAAAGGTGACAGCAATAAATATAAGAAAAGCAATAACATGATCAATTGGTGTTATCTGAAAGTCGTACATGTATGGACGGAATGTTTTTATCACTTCTTTTTATATTTACATACATGCGAATGCAAATGCCTAATGTTTGCATAATACATATTCCTTTAAAAGGTACAAAACAGGTCTGTTTAAACAGAAAGCTTTAATTTGCATTTGATCTCAATTGGACAACAAAGTGCAGAAAAAATTCAAACGTAAAAGTTGTGCAGTAAAGTATAAATTGTTTGTTGATTTGAAACGGACAATGAAGTAACAACACTGTAGAAACATGACTAATGATGTTGTTGATTTCATGCAATATGATGAAAGAAGAACGGTCACGCCCCATACAAAAAAAACCCAGACCCGACAGAAACGAGACATACCTCAGTTTTTTTGTCATGTCTTAATTAGTTAAAATATATATTTTTTATATTCGAAATCTATGTATAACACCAAAATATTACCCTTTGTTTTTGTTTAGGCGTTATACAAAATGCCTATTTATCACCAAAATTGGTAAATGTATGTACCTAAATGTATATTACAGTTGCTATGGAATGTATCTAGGTGACCTGGAGATACAGCCGGATTATACAGGGTGGTTATACATATGGAACGATAAGTGNCCCTTAAGCAGCACGAAACGCTCTGTCGCGGCGTCCTAACTCCAGCCCTGTTTGACATTAAAGTATCCACATTCCACATTCTGCCAAAACAATTCGGCGCTATAGCGCGACGTCAAATCAAAAAATCAAAATCAAATCAAATAATTTAACATTAGCGCGCGCTAGGTAGCGTTCTATTTGGCGAAGCCTCTGAAATACATACATAATGTATTGCCTAAATATAAGAAAAATATTTACTGTGTTTAAATTACAGTTTCAAGCTCAATACAACAATACTCAACATTTTATTACATCCATTATGTACTTAAAATTATAAAATTATGGACTACATTATTTCTAGATCTCATTTATCTTTAACCCTTATTTTTCATTGTTTTGTGGATGCTAAGACAAGGGAATAAAGTTCAAAATATGGTGGGAAATATATTCCCACTGCCATATAAAGGGTTAAATAAAACAGTTATTTAACTTGTTTCTATAGGATTTATCTTTGCTATAAAGCCTTTTATCTAGCTAGGAGAAAAACATTGACACCATAAATATCTTCTTATCAACGTTACTTGAGAAAGGTGACAGCAATAAATATAAGAAAAGCAATAACATGATCAATTGGTGTTATCTGAAAGTCGTATATGTATGGACGGAATGTTTTTATCATTTCTTTTTATATTTAAATACATGCCAATGCAAATGTCCGATGTTTGCATAATACATTATTATTCCTTTAAAAGGTACAAAACAGGTATGTTTACCGGAAAGCTTTCATATTTGCATTTGGTCTCAATTGGACAACAAAGTGCAGAAAAAATTCAAACGTAAATGTTGTGCAGTACAAATTGTTCGTTGATTTGAAACGGACAATGAAGTAACAACACTGAGAAACATGACTAATGATGTTGTTGATTTCATGCACTATGATGAAATTTCTTTAAAGTTCTGCAATTGACGTAAAAAATGACCACTACCTATAGCTAAAATGTGGATACTCTGTATAAATATTATTGTGAGATTAATTTAAGAATCTCCCTTTATCCATACGAAGAAGTAATTAGGACAACGGCAGACCTTAAAGCCATCAAAAACAACACTCGAACAACATTCTTGTTTGCTTTTATTTTTCCGGTAGTTTCTAATAAGTTCTTTGTGACAAAGCATAGCTACAAATGACACACACACTGTCCCAAGATGTTTACTTATGTATTTTCATCTCATGCAACTCACACAGACATAACAAGGAAAGATGCATCATATACTGTTAATTACTGCATTTAATTTTGTACTCCTAATCTCAGTTCACGCTCGACTTGAATTGCTTATTAATGCATATACCTACTTAAGAACTGAAATAGTTCATACAAACGTTATACATAAGTGGTTAAGCCGGTTTTCACATCCCACATGCGATTAGAGTTATCTGAGCTAGCGTTTAGACTAGAAAATTCGAACTTATCAATTTATCACACAATTAGATCTAGATTAGAAACAAAAAAAGGAAAGTTTGTGAAAAGAATTAAATTGAAAGTACCTCTCCATTGGCGACGCTCTTCACTTTTTGGGCACCGATTGCATTAATATCGATGGACATCTTCGATACACTTCTGTTGATCGTTGAATATACAAAAACTAAACTTCGCAAGCGACTGCCGCTAAAGAAATGAACGGGAAATGACGAGAAAGAAAATAAAAACATTCGCAATCCAACAGGCCCAATCCAAAATTGACAGCAATTTGACAGTAATGACAGGTAAGTGCGTGACAAGTTTTTTTTTTAATAAATTGTTGCATGGGATCATACAAAGTAATGAATGTGCGCTACGACTTCAAGAAACAACTGCTTGAAATGAAACTTGTTTTTTCTCTGATTGGGCAATACTTGACATTCAAAATAACCTTGAAATTATCTGTTCACTGATTAGCTGAAATAAAGATGCCTTGTGTTTGTTGACCAATCGGAATCATGAACGACGATTACAACGGCAGAGAAAATACATCATTCATTCGTTGTGTCATTTTTGGTGTAACTTTGCTTGCCGCGTGCTCTGCCGGTTTCGTGATTGATTTATTCATCTTCTAATCACGTAAGTAATTTTCTTTAACGTATTTTGCATTTATCAATATCTTATACACAAATTTCATCCAATACAGTATGTATTAATGGCAAATAAGCCATGGTTCACATCGACTCTTCGAGTGTCATTGATTTTTCAAGTACGCTTTACTTAATATTTTTTTTGCGTTTCACATCATTTACTTACCATTCACTGGTTATAAATCGTGTTTTAGTCGTCAGAATGATGGATGAGTCATTGTGGGTGGTAATTTATTGATTATTGGTGCATAATTTAGTATATTATGTACCTATGTTTTGAGTAGGTAGATTGTTACGCTATGTTCCACGTTTGTAGATGTTAATCTGTAATTACTAACCTACTGCACTACTAAGTGCCGTTGAAAACGCGGCAAATGTCTGGAAAACGACGCATTATGATAAGTATAAGTACATTAGTAGGTACACCATTGGAATTTAGGTCGCCAGGGTCCAATGGGCCCAGTACTTAAGTATTAGGGGGGATTACAGAGTTCAATGACTTGGTTTGGACTACATTATTATACAAGTTGCTAGGCCTTGAGTGGGTTTATTAATAATTATTCTTCATAAATGGAATTAAAATATTATACATGTTATTTTCCTTATCTAATTAATTTGATCTACTGTCTTATTTAACCTTGATAATTCTACATAATGTGTAAATTTTCTTAGCTGTATTTCATTCTTTAAAGCTTTAAATTATGATGATTATTGTCATAGGCAAATGCAGTAATTTCTTCGTAAAATCAGTATGTTGTTTTTCTATATCACCCAATTTTTCAGCAAAGATAATAAAAAAAACTAGAAAGAAAAGGATTCAAATCAGCTGTTCAGTAAAATAATGTATAATATAAATAAATAAAATAAAAATGATTTAATAAATATAATAAAATTGACCAAGTAAGTAATGACTGTAAAATCATTGCTCAATTTAGCTTTAGGTAACAGTTATTAAGTTAATAAAAATATTCAATGTTTCCTACCAGTTACTGTCTTGTGGATTGTGAAAGTTATAGAAATATTAATTGTCCTGAGAATCTAGTAGTATAGTACAAGTACCAATTAAAACTGTTTTTTATTAGATATAAAACCTATTTAACCTGCTTTTTTCTTTCATTAAACTCTTAAAAACCCTTATGATAAGGCAATAAAGCACAGAATTGAAGCTACTGTACTGACAACAATTTTATCCAGTTCGAGAAGTATAGCCAAAATTTTCTCATGTCTACAATTATTAATTGTGGGAGTTATCTTAATTTCAAATTCAAGGCCATAAAGTGTACAGCAACAGGCACATTAGTCTACAAATGTATGTTGCAAAATCGCCCTTATTGAATGGACATAAGATGCTACAGTGTTTGTTTAGCTTGTACAGTCAGCACACAAGACGTTTTTGCTGTAAAATCGCACATAAAACAACTTGAGAAGTGCGTGGGATAAAATTAAAAACTGTCACAAAACAGACCGACCGCGACATTTGACCGACACGCGGGAAAAGCCACCCCATAGACAATAAGAGGCACTTTTTGGTCGCTCCGAAAATCCTATCCCTTCGAAGTTCTTTCGTTTCAGTGACGTCCACTGCTGGACAAAAGCCTCCCCCAAGGATTTCCACAAAGACCGGTCCTACGCTGCCCGCATCCAGGCACTTCCCGCCTTCCACCACCGCCACTTTCACTATATCGTCGGTTCACCTGGTGGAGGCACACTACGTTTTCCGACCCGTGGTCGCCACTCGAGAACTTTTCTGCCTCAGCGGCCATCAGCTCTGCGAGCTATGTGCCCACTGCCCCGCCCACTTGATTTTAGCAATTCTTCGGGCTATGTCGGTCACTAGTTCTCCTGCGGATCCCCGCATTTCTGATTTGATCACGCAGGGAAACGCCGAGCTTATCACGCTGCATCGAACTTTGGGTGACCTTGAGCCTTCTTAAGAGGCCCATATTAAGCAACCACCTCTCAGAAGTCAGAACTTGCCCCGGAGCGAAGTCCTTTTGAAATTACAGGTGTCAAGTTTTGCCACTTGTCTAAGGAAGATACTTAGTCGAATATACCTCAATCGGGAACATCAGTCCAACACTCCTTCAGTTGCTGTCTACATGAGCACCTTCCTAGGGCCTACCAAATACAAATTTTGGGCACATTAACTACTAGTTTCGCAGCAACACGTCATAGTCAAATGGGTATTTTACTCAATGAAACAACTAGGAAGTTATTTAGCTCCTTCATCAATTGCATCACGATTAATTCAGTATAGGAATCTACGAAATCATCGTTACGATTCTTGGATATCTCGTCACCGCGACGATTGTGATTCACAAGTCATGTCGTGCATGACGTCATGGCTCCATAATGGCCGTGTGCCAAGTCAACATTGAACGGAGTCGAGTTGTTTGTTTGGTGCCGGCAGTCATAGGCGGAACGTCGTTGCCTCAACACGTTAAAAAGTTAACGTATTGTCTGTGATATTTTTTAGTTTTAAATACCGGTAAGTGTTGTGCTAATAATTTTTTTACGGTCGCCTAAAACCTTGACTTTTTTTGCGAACTGGCTGGTGAGATTGTATGAATTCTTTTTTGTTTTTTATTGTTTGTTATCTCGTTCTTTCGCTAATGTAGGACTGAGAGGTGTATTGATTACTCGGTTTCGCTGTTTGTTGTATGTCATTACAAGAAACAAGGAAAAATTTTTACCGCGCGTTAGTTTCTTTGGATAACCTTATACAGGGTGGAAACGTTAAGTGATCTCACTCGATTATTTCTAAACTATACAAGATATCGAAAAACTGATTACTGATTCTGAAAGTGCTTCACAAGCTCTTTCAAACGGTACCAATAATAGGTTACAGAATAAACTGGATCTATCCGAAAATTCAATGTTTCCAGCTTCCATACATTTAGTAAAACCACATAATATTAAAAACTATACAAAATATTCAAAAACTGATTACTGATCCTGAAACTGCTTCACTAGCTCTATCCAACGGTACCAATAATTGGTTACAAAATAAACTGGATCCATTCGAAAATTCAATGTTTCCAGCTTCCATACATTTAGTACAGCCACAGTCATGGCACTCATGTCTTGTTAATTTTATAGCAAGTAAAACCTAAAACCAATGTTTTCCAAGAATAATTTTAAATAAGAATGCTATTTACGAGTTCATTTTAAGTGTTTATTATTTAATAAACAAAATTAATAATTCTATTATTGTTTGGCTGGCATACATTTAGTATGGAAGCTGAAAACATTAAGTTTTCGGATAGATTCAGTTAATTCTGTAACCTAATATTGGTACCGTTGGATAGAGCTTGTGAAGTACTTTCAGGGTTAGTAATCAGTTTTTCGATATCTTGTATAGTTTAGAAATAATCGAATGAGATCACTTATCGTTTCCACCCTGTATAAATATTCCTCTATAGAGTTGTAACTCAAACAATACTGAATTTACTCAATAGATTGATTCAAACTTCTTGTTTTAGGTATTGATTTAGTCTTCTAGAGTTCTAAACTTCCACATTAGCAATTGTAATCTATAAAAATAAGAATATTAATTGACCTGAACTATTGTTTTTCGTGTATGTTGAATAACCGGTAAATCATCTGACTGTGTAGATAGGGTAGATATTTCCTTCCATTGTGAAAAAATAATTTTTGTCATACTTTATGCGGAAAAAGTACAATTATTATTTATTACATTTAATTTTCCCTGTAATATTATTACAGATAACAGAAAATACTTTTAATATCCTATCTTAGAACCTTGACTTGTATTATCGTGACATTGAAACATGGTAAGAAAATAAAAACTATGTTATAAACAATAAAGACAGAAACATTGATTAGGTAGGTCAGTTTGCTTAAAATCTCTTTTATTCTCCAAACAGCTATGTGATGATTAATAGCTTAATTTACTTCATAATAAATTCAATTAGGAAGGTCAGAATACCTACCTAAAGAAAAGTAGGTACTAATCTAGTACCTAAATGGCTATAATAAATTGTAGTATAATAAAATCAGACAGAATCGTAGTTGCTATGATAGGATACCTTCGAACGCCAAAGTTCCAGGTTTAATACCCTGTAGGGTCTGTCAACTTGACACTTGACAGTTCAAGTGTCTGGATAGGTACAGTCAGCGTCAAATAGTTCGTGACAAAGTGGCCGAAAAGTTGACAACACAACCTTAATCCAATGAGGGCTATCGTTTTCATACTTAACAGTTGGCACCCCTGGCGATTGACAGGACCTTACTCTACAGTGGCGCCATCTTGATGAGTGCAAATGCGATAGTCCTCCTACCACTTTAGCGCTCACAAGTTGGCGCCACTGTCTTCGCTACTAGCAAGTGACAGGACCTTACTCTACAGTGGCGCTAACTGGTGAGCGCTAAAACGATAGCCCTCATTGCAATAAAGTCGTGTTGCGAACTTTCTGGCTACTTTGGGTGTCACGAACTAGGTATTTGACGCTAACTGTACCTACTTTGAAATGGAAAATTCTCGATGTTGTTGGTGTTCTTCGTGCGTGTATTTATATGTTGATAATTAATTATGTTAAACAGACGTAGTTTTACCATAATTAGTACAAACAAGCCATGACATCATAAAACTAGTAGATGTATTCTGTAAGAACATTCATAGCTATAAACTTTGAGTACCTACTCCAGTGACTTGCGACAAAATTTTCAACCTTAAGTCCTGAGTAATAACGGTCAAGTGGAACCGCTGATCTTGTATTGTATCGATTTCCCATTATCGTTTTGTTATCAACACGCTAGACGCTAGTCCGGCCCCATAGACCACAGTACATAACGGGTTTATGGCAGTAACTTAACTTTGTATTTGTCACCGTAAAATTGTAAATTCCGTCAGATGAAATCTGTAGGTAGATTACAATGTAACCTAATCCACTGATAGTTTACAATAATGACGCGATGTATTATAAACTGACGGAGTTCACAATTTCACGTTGACGTTCACTTCGATTTTGTCAAATAGAGATTTATTTATCGTACCTGCCTGTTTTCATGGTGTCGCTATATCTGAGGATTTTTTTTTTTCAAAGTCAATGTCAAATTCCCTTAAAACTGAAGAGTCCTAAACCTTTAAATTGAAAGAGTCGCAGATTGGTGAGCCCAGCTGCTGCTAGCCTTTATGCCTACCATTATATCGTTTTATCCAGGCATTGTATCCTAAATAAAGTATTTTTAATTCCAGTAAACATGTCGATCCACATCAAGGACTCCGAAGACCTGAAGAACAGGCTGGCCGAGGCTGGCGAGAAGCTGGTGGTGATCGACTTCATGGCCACCTGGTGCGGGCCGTGCAAGATGATCGGGCCCAAACTAGACGAGATGGCCACGGAAATGGCTGACAGCTTGGTCGTCCTCAAGGTAAGCCTTCTTCCCTACATTTTTTTGCAGGAAAATGCTATAAAATTATTTAAATGAGCAGTTTTATTGCGTATATTTGTAATAATATACATACATGCACCGTTAAAGATTAGGGATTTGGCCTACACTCCTACGCACTGACCAGACAGCTTCATGAGATCTAATGTACGCAAAATTCCTAAGGCCCATTTTCCACCAAAGCAAACAGGAGAGATGTATTTGAATGACCATGATCTCGTTATTTCCATAGCACCTCTCCTCTTAGTTTCGGTTCGGAAATCAAATTGGTGAAAACACATCTCTTCGCTTTGGTAGAAAATGGGTCTCAGTAGCCTTTTACGACATCCAGATCGGCCACTGATCTATAGCCTGACCAGGAACATAAAAACCCTCGCCATGTTGCGGAAAAGTAATGGTACTAATTTCTTTTAATGGCAACAGTAACTGAAAACTTCATTGACATGTCACCTTGCATGTCAGTCTATTGCTGTCAAAGTGTAAACAAAGTTTATTTTAAATGTGCGCAATTAGTATTATGAATTAAATTGCTAAAATATTTTTATAGTCGTGAAAGAAAAGTGGTTCACAATGTGTTAAAGTATTTGTCGAAGAGAAATACTAAGGGTTTGGACAATATTTTCATTGAATAATGTTTCCGACAAAGGTTGTCAAATTGACTGACATGTTTNCTCAACACGTTAAAAAGTTAACGTATAGTCTGTGATATTTTTTAGTTTTAAATACCGGTAAGTGTTGTGCTAATCATTTTTTTACGGTCGCATAAAACCTTGACTTTTTTTGCGAACTGGCTGGTGAGATTGTATGAATTCTTTTTTGTTTTTTATTGTTTGTTATCTCGTTCTTTCGCTAATGTAGGACAGAGAGGTGTATTGATTACTCGGTTTCGCTGTTTGTTGTAAGTCATTACAAGAAACAAGGAAAAATCTTTACCGCGCGTTAGTTTCTTTTAACCACTTTTAACCATAAATAAATATTCCTCTATAGAGTTGTAACTCAAACAATACAGAATTTACTCAATAGATTGATTCAAACTTCTTGTTTTAGGTATTGATTTAGTCTTCTAGAGTTCTAAACTTCCACATTAGCATTTGTAATCTATTAAAATAAGAATGTTAATTGACTTGAACTACTATTGTTTTTCGTGTATGTTGAATAGCCGGTAAATCATCTGATTGTGTAGGTAGTAGGTATTTCCTCCAATTGTGAAAGAATAATTTTGTCATACTTTATGCGGAAAAAGTACAATAATTTTTATTTATTACAGTTCATTTTCCCTGTAATATTATTACACATGACAGAAAATACTTTAATATCCTATCTTTCTATCTTGATTCGTATTATCGTGACATTGAAACATGTTAAAGAAATAAAAACTATGTTATAAACAAGGCAAACAAAAACTTTAATTAGGTAGGTCACTTTGCTTATAATCTACTAGCTTTTGCCCGCGTGAAATTTAGTGCCACAGATTCGCATAAATTATATCCTATAATATGTTAATCTGGGTTACAAATAATAATACTGTAAAGTTTCAGCCCAATCCATTCAGTAGTTTTTGCATGAAAGAGTAACAAACATCCACATAAACTTTCACCTTTATAGGTAATATTAGTAGGATTTTATTCTCTACACAGCTATGTGATGATTAATAGCTTAATTTACTTCATTTAAGTTCAATTCTAAATAACACAATATATTCAATTAGGTCAGAATACCTACCTAAAGAAACATTCCAATCTAATCTACTAGGTACCTAAATGGCTATAATAAATTGTAGTAGGTACCTACCTATAATAAAATCAGACAGTATCGTAGTTGCAATGATAGGATACCTTCAAACGCCAAAGTTCCAGGTTTGATACCCTGTAGGGTCTGTCAACTTGACACTTGACAGTTCAATTGTCTAAATAAGTACAGTCAGCGTCAAATAGTTCGTGACATCCAAAGTGGCCGAAAAGTTGACAACACAACCTTATTCCAATGAGGGCTATCGTTTTTATACTTTGGCACCCCTGGCGATTGACAGGACCTTACTCTACAGTGGCGCCATCTTGATGAGTGCAAATGCGATAGTCCTCCTACCACTTTAGCGCTCACCAGTTGGTGCCACTGTCTTCGCCACTAGCAAGTGACAGGACCTTACTTTACAGTGGCGCCATATTGATGAGTGCAAATGCGATAGTCCTCCTACCACTTTAGCGCTCACCAGTTGGTGCCACTGTCTTCGCTACTAGCAAGTGACAGGACCTTACTCTACAGTGGCGCTAACTGGTGAGCGCTAAAACGATAGCCCTCATTGCAATAAAGTCGTGTTGCGAACTTTCTGGCTACTTTGGGTGCCACGAACTATTTGACGCTGACTGTAACTACTTTGAAATGGAAAATTCTCGATGTTGTTGGTGTTTTTCGTGCGTGTATTTATGTTGATAATTAATTATGTTAAACAGACGTAGTTTTACCATAATTAGTACAAACAAGCCATGACATCATCAAACTAGTAGATAGGTAGGTAGGTATTCTACAAGAGAACATTCATAGCTACAAATATTGCATACTTACTCCAGTGACTTGCGACAAAATTTTCAACCTTAAGTCCTGAGTAATAACGGTCAAGTGGAACCGTTGATCTTGTGTTGTATCGATTTCCCATTATCGTTTTGTTATCAACACGCTAGACGCTAGTCCGCCCCCATAGACCACAGTGCATAACGGGTTTATGGCAGTAACTCAACTTTGTATTTGTCACCATAAAATTGTAAATTCCGTCAGATGATAATAAGAAGTTAGATTACAATCTCACCTAACCCACTGTTAGTTTACAATAATGACGCGATGTATTATAAACTGACGGAGTTCACAATTTCACGTTGACATAATTCACTTTGATTTTGTCAAATAGAGATTTATTTATCGTACCTGCCTGTTTTCATGGTGTCGCTATATCTGAGGATTTTTTTCAAAGTCAAATTACCTTAGAACTGAAGAGTCTAAACCTTTTCATTGAAAGAGTCGCAGATTGGTGACCCCAACTGCTGCTAGCCTAACATGCCCACCATTATATCGTTTTATCAAGGCATTGTATCCTAAATAAAGTATTTTTAATTCCAGTAAACATGTCGATCCACATCAAGGACTCCGAAGACCTGAAGAACAGGCTGGCCGAGGCTGGCGAGAAGCTGGTGGTGATCGACTTCATGGCCACCTGGTGCGGGCCGTGCAAGATGATCGGGCCCAAACTAGACGAGATGGCCACGGAAATGGCTGACAGCCTGGTCGTCCTCAAGGTAAGCCTTCTTCCCTCCTTTTTTTTGCAGGAAAATGCTATAAAATTATTTAAATCAGCAGTTTTATTGCGTGTATTTGTAATAATACACATGCACCGTTAAAGACTAGGGATTTGGCCTACACTCCTCCGCGTTGACCAGACGGCTTCATGAGATCTAATGTACGCAAAGTCCCTTATGTCCATTTTCCACCAAAGCGAAGAGAGGACAGATGTATTTGAATGACCATGATCTCGTTATTTCCATAGCACCTCTCCTCTTAGTTTCGGTTCGGAAATCAAATTGGTGAAAACACATCTCTTCGCTTTGGTAGAAAATGGGTCTCAGTAGCATTTTACGACATCCAGATCGGCCACTGATCTACTAATTTTACTGTCTGTCTCCAAAAGTGGCCAAGCATAATACATCACGAATGATAAACAATAAAGATATACAGTCGTGTCTTAGGGGCTTCGAACTGGTTATCTAACAGAGAAATAGGGTTGAAATAACTTGAAAATTACTATAATAGCTTGGACCTTGTGTCGGAAGATCGTCACAGTTCACACGTACTCGTTTTAACATAAAACTCGTTTAGTTCGCTATATCTATTTGTCATACTTGTTATTACATCCCAACTAATATTATAAATGCGAAAGTAACTCTGTCTGTCTGTCTGTCTGTTACGCTTTCCCGCTTAAACCTCGCAACCGATTTTGATGAAATTTGGCATAGAGATAGTTTGAGTCCCGGGAAAGAACATAGGATAGTTTTTATCCCGTTTTTTGAAACAGGGACGCGCGCGATAAAGTTTTTCTGTGACAGACAAAATTCCACGCGGGCGAAGCCGCGGGCGGAAAGCTAGTTTGAAATACTTGGATGTCACTATTTTTACATGTTTGGGTAAATATTCAAATATTAATACTGCTAACGCTCAACAATTAACTAACAAAAGTTGAACATCTTTAAGTAAATATCATTTTAAAATAGTGTTCAACGTGCGTCTAACGGAAATTTTACTCTATAGGTCTAGAGCAGCGTTTCCCGAATGGTGGTCCGCGGAACCCTGGGGTTCCGTGGAAAGGCCGCAAGGGTTCCGTAAAAAATATTATCCCACGTTTCGTGACCGACGTTGTTCGCTCGCACCGACTTGTTTACGCACAAGGGAGGGGCAGGGCGTGCGGGCGGAGTAGTACGGGGGTTCCGCTAGGAAAAGTATAATCAATTAGGGTTCCTTGGCAAAAAAAATTGGTAAACCCTGGTCTAGAGAATGGGAATGGCACGAGAGGGGTGACATTGACATTATTATTTCGTGACTGAACATACAAATCTGAAAAATCTGAAGTCTCGTTGACATTTGACGTCTCAAAAACACCCTTTCGTGACGCTCCCATACCTCAAGCACTGTCCCAGTTAAGCGCAGATCTATAATATCACCATAGATTTGTGTAATAGAAATGGGACAAATGTCAATAGGTGACTAATGCCCGTTTTCACCATCAATTCCTAATTTTTAAGTGAACCCTATGGTAACAAATAACAGGAATTTTGTTTACAAGGGGTCACTTAAAAATTAGGGATTGATGGTGAAAACGGGCATAATTCTTATATGCGTTTAAATAGGTCACTAATTTGTAAGATGAATAAGCACTTACTGACATACCGGATCTATACGTTCTCTTCTACAAATTATCCAATTTACATAGTTGGTGCGATGCGTATGCGCACGATTATGATTATCTTTTACAAGAAAATTAAATTTTGGTCATCTGAAATATCAAAATGCACATGAACCTATGCTACTTATTTCACTGTTTCTATTAGAATAACAAAATCAATATTAATAATAATCTCGGTTATGTTTGTTGTTATGTTACGGTTAATGTGATAAATTGAAAATTATTAATAATAACCGGTTACCGACAGTCACGGTAAAAGTGATAAATTAATCACATTTAACAGTGATTATTTAATAATTCAACCTTAGTACTAACAAATTTCATAAAAGAGAACAACATCTTGTGTACGTGCTCGTGTACAGCCAAACTTTTGAACGTTTTGATATCATATATATTAATATAATTTGGCATAATGAGTTTGGAATGTTTTTTGCATAATATTACTTTTCCATGATGCCTATAACATAATGTTTTGATTTAAAGTGAAAAATAGGTTAAGGTGCGGCGGGGGTGGCCCTTGGGCCACCCCTAAGCCGCCTATTTAGTTTTATACACACATAAGTGACCTCATATTAATCACATTTACCAAACCATGCGGTAATTATTCATAATAACCGGCGATTATTCATAATTTTCACATTTATCACTTTGACCGTAACAGTTACATACAATTATGTGCCATGTAACATCATCATCCATTTGCCCTTAGCTAGTAAATTAGATAGGGTCATGCTCCTGCAGTGGCGACTAAATGACCTGATGATAATAAGTTAACATCTTCAAGTTTAATTTTAGAACCAAATTCCAAAGTAAATAAAATAGTACATGTCATTCTGCTAAATATTTACTATACTATGACCAACGACCGTATTTAGGCAACTTCGTAGACATGACGTCACTAACCGCAGTGTACAGTCAGCGTCAAATAGTTCGTGACACCCAAAGTAGCCAATAACTTCGCAACACGTTTTTGTTATAGTTGGAATAAGGTTGTGTTGTCCACTTTCGGTGTCACCACAGAATAATAATAAGTACTACGTACAGAAGTTTTACTTCGCGAAGGTATTTAAAAAAATGTATGCCCAATGTCATTAACAATATGGTGTGATTTAGCCTGTCTCAAGAGTCAAGCACCATTTTGTTGGCAAACGTCAGTGATCGGCACTGCGCCGAAGCTATAGGGCTGACTTCGGTAAAATGATGTGACGTGAGGTGCCAAACTGCGGAAAATGGCGGAGAAAATACATGATTTAGCATGAATTATCATGAATAATATTAACTACTTATTTACCTCTCAGTGTCTTGAGGCAACTTAAAAAAGTACATTCTGTGTTTTTATTATCTGTGGTTCAGAACGGACAACTATGCCGAGAGGTCCCGGGTTCGATTCCCGGCCGGGCAGAAATTGAAATGATGAATTTTAATTTCTGTGACGGGTCTGGGTGTAACTATGTATAATATTTATGTATTTAAAAAAAAAAGTATATAAGTAGTATATCCGTTAAGCTAGCACCCATAACACAAGCATTAAGTTGCTTACTTTGGGGCTAGATGGCGCTGTGTGAAATTGTCCAAAGATTTATTATTATTTAGGCAGTTAAATACTGCACAGTATTTAGTACACCATTTTCTTCCATCATACACAAGAATACGCGTGCGTGAGTCAATGTTCGCTCGTATGTGAGGCCTTGTCGAATAGTATCCTGTAGGTGGGCCATCGTGCGTGTTTTGTTTTCGATGTAAACTCGCGGAGATGAACAGGCCTGGTGTCACGAACTATTTGACGCTGACTGTCTACACTCAACCTACAGACAAATAAAATGAAACAATAATGGAATAATAACCTTATCAAAGTTATCCTTATCAAACGCATGGGGAGTGTTATCAACACGTTTGCTAATTGTGGTTTGCTATCACAACTTGTGGTACATAATTTTGTTGGCAAACTTAAAATAAATATGTTGTCATATTTTATTAACACAAAACCATACAGGTTTGTTGTGTTTGTTGCAAGTTCGATCTTATTACAATACAGCAACCCAAGAGAGATCTTGATGTGCTGTCGTCTACGGCACTCTACGGGTTGATAAATATGTAGTAGAGTGCAGGTTATTGCAATATAGTATATAGCACCTATATATATAAGACGCTAAAAAACAAACCTATTGCTCTAAAAATTACTCCTATTAATTGACTTGCATAAAACATGACTGCCATATCACGGGCCATATCCTGCATGTATCAATGAATAATCCCTGGCCAATCCCCCACACCTGTTTCTAGTCGACAGCACTTCAAGCTAAACACAGTGGCACAAGTGTCTTATCTCCTTGTAATACAGGCTATTTTTCAACCAAAATTATGTTGGTGACTATGTAATTTTATTCGCTGATAAGTTGCTCGTATCAGCAGACAGAGCTGTGTTTGTCTAACGATTATGCCGTGTGTAATGTCTGCAAGTTAGATTACACGCTTTTTACACTATTATTAAATATCAAAACTGTAATCTAAGTATCTACCTAGTTTAGAGAATAATCTAGTTTGAAAGTCCGACATAGTCTGCAGCATTGCCGAACTCAAAGAGGGAATAGCTCGTAGAATTGTTGGCCGTTGGGATAGAAAAGAAAACCACGGGCTGGAAGTGTATGTGTCCCACTCGATTGACCAACGATAAAGGTTGGGGCAAGCATCTGGGCACAACTTTGTCCAGCAGTCGACGTCTTTTGGTTAAACTAGCCAATTCTTTAAAATTTCACATAGGTACTTCAATTTTATATGGTTAGCTGACCACACCAGAACCCATGTAGTAGCACAGAATAAGTAAGTACTTAGTAGTTTCTTTAAAAATCACTGAAACCACTTCATAAATAAGTGTACCCACATTGTATCAGCTGTTTACTCATATATCACGGGTACTAGCCAAAGTGTAACTCGATTGATTCCAAAAATAAACATGCAAAAAACAGTGCTACACTATGCACTAGTAAATAACATAAAAGTCAGGAATTTCCGTGAGAACATAATCATAATCATTTATTTATTGCTTCATAAGTGTACATAGGTACTTATTTTAACAAATATGTTCACTATTATGCGGGTCATAATAATAATATACTATAGAAGCTAATGTTTGTTTTTTAGTCATTTCGATTCAGCCAAGTCCATGTAGACTCGTGGAAAATAAAATAAATCATAGTGATAAATGACGTAAGATATAGAGAGAAAGAGGACAATAGAAAGAAAAATATCGTTAGATACGACCCGCGCCATCACATGGTTGTTGAAAAATCTCTCTTAAAGATGTCCTACACTGAACCGTCCTAGCTATGACATTGTAAGGAG